TTCTCTTTCTGATCTTTTAACAGGAGGAACTCAATGCTCATTGTTAATGTTCTGGCCTTCATCGCTGCTGCTTTAATGGGCTTTTCCAAGCTGGCTGAATCCTGGGAGATGCTTATTATCGGACGCTTCATTGTAGGCCTTTACTCTGGCCTGTCCACAGGCTTTGTACCAATGTATGTAGGAGAAATCGCCCCAACTTCATTACGTGGGGCACTGGGCACACTTCATCAGCTTGGCATTGTCATTGGCATCCTCATAGCACAGGTCAATTAATATGTTATCTTTATTATGAGACCACTTTTAGTAATCATTTAGACTTTTACATTGCATAGATAGATGTGACCTTTTTGTGTATTTCATTAGAAACACTCCTGCTTTGTTCTGTAGATCTTTGGTATTAAAGAAATCATGGGGACCCCTACAATGTGGCCCTTCCTACTTGGCTTTACTTTCATCCCAGCCATAGTCCAGTGTGCCCTGCTGCCCTTCTGCCCCGAGAGCCCGCGCTACCTTCTCATCAACCAGAACGAGGAGGCCAAAGCTAAGAGTGGTGAGTTTTTAATACTCAATTTAAGATGTTGCCTAGGGTTTCTCCAGTCAGCGTAACTAACTCATTTCCACAGTGCTGAAGAAGCTCCGTGGCACTGAAGATGTGGCTGCAGACATGCAGGAGATGAGGGACGAGGGCAGGCAGATGATGAGGGAGAAGAAGGTCACCATCCCTGAGCTCTTCCGCTCATCGCTCTACCGCCAGCCCATCTTCATTGCCATCATGCTGCAGCTCTCCCAGCAGTTCTCCGGTATAAATGCTGTACGTTTTCTTTATTTCTTTATCTAGCATTTATCAGCCGATCCATCAATATACTTTTCCATCAAATTCTATTGCTTGTTGTATTAGAAATACCAGCATGGCTGGAGTCTGGAGGAAGACTGGAGAGGCACAGAATCCAAGCTGCTTGCAGTCCAGTGTGAAGTTTCCGATGTCAGTGATGATTTGGGGTGCCGTGACGTCTGCTGGTATTGGTCCATTGTTTTTTATCAAGTCCAAAGCAGAACACTTTATGCTTCCATCTGCTGACAAGCTTTATGGAGATGCTGATTTCCTTTTCCAGCAGGACTTTAGCACCTGCCCACAGTGCCAAAACCACTTTTTGTTTGCTGTGGTTTGCTGACCATGATATTACTGTGCTTGTTTGGCCAGCCAACATGCCTGACCTGAACCCCATATGGAATCTATGGGATATTTTCAAGAGACAGATGAGAAACAGTCAATCCAACAATACAGACGAGCTGTAGTGCTTCTGCAGTGCCACAGGCTGATCGCTTCCATGCCACTCCTCACTGATGCTGTCATTTGTGCTAGAGGAGTACCGACCAAGTATTGAGTGCATAAATGAACATACCTTAAAGAACTTGAACTTTTCTGTTTTGCAAATCCTTTTTTGATTGATCTTAGGAAATATTCTAATATTTTGAGATACTGGATTTTTGACTTTCATGAGCTGTAAGCTCTAATCATCAAAATTAAAACAAAAAAACTTTTGAAATGTTTTACTTTACATGTAATGAATCTAGAATATATGAAAGTTTCACTTTTTGAAATAAGTTACAAAAAA